CGCTAAGGCTGTTATTGGACTGGGACTTCCTAAGGTCGCAGTCAGTGACTTGTGTTTGCTTGCCATTGTGGGTTCTGTGCGTACTTATGCTTATGCTATGCGTGGCACATGGAGCTGAAGGTACATTTTTGCCATTTAATCTCACCCCAGACCCAGTATGACGGTCACTTTGTGCCTGCGAGTCTTATGCTCTTCAAAAATAAATGATAATAATGATCTATCAGCTGCGTTGCATTTGAAGGACACTATAACGTAGACTACATTCAATCGGCATGCAATCGTTACCCAACAGCACAGGGTGAATACCGTCCAAGAGATTGATTATTCGAATGGAATCGGCCACACCCTGGAAAATACAGCAGAAACAAGCGGACGTTTGAAATCCCCTTGAAAGATGCTTCTAAGTTCGCGCTACCATACTGAGTATTTGGTATCGGAAAAATTGAACTTGTTCATGTATACAAGTCCCGGCCTCTAAGATGCACTCAAGCGCGGTGGAACGGTCCATCGAGTTTCCTGTTTGTATGCGAACTTTAAGTCAGTGCTACAGTAGTTCGTGTGTCCGACCGTTCACCTTATTCTTTTCAATCTCCATTTAGTGACTCGGTTTCGTAAGCGCTACAACGTACAGGCATTATTAACGCTATTTCATCATCACTGAGAGACTGCAGAGAAACTCAGTGCTTTTAAGTAAGAGTTATTAAAAAAATTGATTAAGGTCTTCGCGGGAGGTTCCACTCCCATCTGTTGCGAATCACAAGCGTTTCTCGCACTGTATAAATCAAAAATGATTGAAAAAATGTATATTTTCGCCGGTTCAGTCGCCAGTGTACCTGAAATCGGACGCTTCTTACCTCCAATTGGCTTAGGTAAGTCACAATGTCTCGCGGAATAGCTGTTTTCAATGTGCCTGCCATGACGTGCGCGGAAAATTTACTAAACGGTATCGGGCTAACAAAAATTTCCCTAGAGGTTGCTCGGTCACATGCAGAAATTTCTTCGTCATTATAAAGGTAAAGCATAGTCGTTATATCCAAGAATTTTATGAATCTGGAAATATTTAACTCTCTGCAAACAATGGGTCTTTCCGCTAGTTTTGCACTGCCTTGACAAAAGTGACAATTTCAACGATGTTTTTTTAATCTCGATTGTGAACTTCGCTCGTTTGTTTCTCCGATTTGTCCCACTGAGTTGAGCATTTGTTCCAAACTAATAGTACCTGTCATGTTGGTCTAAATTCGCGGATGGCGGAAACCACACCGATTGATCTGGCTAAGGTCATTTCATCGGAGTGTTGCTCTTCCCTTCTTTAATTACATTGATGTCAACGCAAATTCGATAATTATCGATCAATCATGTATTCTCCTCCCCATGCACTTATGATTCGTTATCACAGATCCTTGTTACAACTGTGATAATTCAAAGGGGAATGCGTGTACCTTGCCAAGTAATCATCAGGCCTAGTTCAGCTCAGTTTGAAGGAGGTTAGCTGGCTGGTTCAGTGACATCTACTACTTAATTGGACAGATGACTAGTAAATGTGTGCCAAAAGTTTCATCGCGATGCTTTTTACCGTGGAGAAATCAACACCCTAGGAGACTTAGAAATTGCTTTGTTCAGATGTGTCTGATAAAAGTCAGCGCCATCAGAATAGGCTTTTTAACGAGGGTTTTGCATGTACAGAACTACGGACTGAGCTTGTGACGGCCGCCTCAAAACAATAGAATCGTAGCTAGCGAAAGTGAAACCGTGGTCTTTCCTCAAAAATGATTTCTAAAACATCATTCTGTTACTGCGCGATCTTCCACAGAAAGTACGAGGAGTCTCCGTTGGTGTGTAAATTTTGCAACCAATATCCAGAGCAAATATGTCGTTTGAAGAAAACGCTCAAATAGAGCGCGCGCCATCGCTACTTTGAAAAAACCTCCACGAACATACTGCACATAAACAGATGAGCACGTAAAAATATATTACAACAAGAAATTACTCGTCTCTTAAGGAAGGGGATGGTGGATATTTTCGGGAACCATAAATGGCAAATTTTATGAACAGAATCAACTTTATTGTGTCTCCAAAAACATTTAGACTACCATGGAAGAAATGAACTCAAACTTTAGGACTGAATGTTACATTTTATATTGTTCGTCTACCTATTCACACGTGCTTTATTTCAGGTAAATCCGGTATATTTATTTTCCCCATACAACATTCCATTTTACTAGTAGCTTTTACAAATCGCCAGAAAACCGTTTACGCAACTGAGGTTTTGCCAAGAAACCTGTCAGTGACATTTTTACGGTACTGATCCCACTTTATTGGGCTGAATATTACTCACGCGCCTTCATTGACTTAATTTTTTCGTCTTACATTGGAAGAGCTATGTATTGTCGATGTCAAACATCCGTTTTACGAGTACGAAGTAAGGCTGCATTTCGGAATAGCTATGTGAGCACCGAACCACACGTTTGCCAATTACAAGTAGTATAGACTATTTTGAGAAATTTACCAGTTTGCAAATGTGTCTGATCAGTTTTCCAATGCTCTCATCATATTATAGATTTTAATCGTTGGCAAACTTAAGCTCATGATATTGTCCCAGTTCACGGTGAATAATAAAACTCGAAGCAGTGGGGAAATGTGGAACGTAATTTAAAAAAACTATTCGGTGTTCGCGAAACCTCTCTCAAATTCATCATATTTCAGAATAGCTTTCACGGTAGCCTGTGTTGCTAGGTTTTCCTCCGAAGGAGGCACAGTTGGATCTTTTGATTTGATTGCGAAAGCTGAAACCGTGGAAACCTGATTTCTCTAGATTTACACATGATTGTTTTCTTGGATATCTGCACAACTCGGATGTTTAAGAGAAGTAATTTAGAGCTAAAAAGAACCATGAATAGCTCATAGCATACCGACGCGTATTCCGGGTACAATAACAAACGAGAACTGGAACATGGGCCTCAAACAGGATAAAAAGGTTGGAAATTCAGGCGGGTGGAATATTTCTGGAAACTCACCTTTTCCAAGGCTCGACTTTCATCCGTATCATCCCGCGAAATGAGAATGCCTTTCGCCGAACTCTCCTCTCTTAGGCGTTCCAAGAACTGTGCAGCCTGCCTCTCCTCCATGCATTCTTTAAGATTGCGTTCAATTTTGCATTGTCTGAAAAATTTCTCCCGAAGACCGGTGATTCTTTCGTCGTCCAGTTGTTGTTTAATCTTTTCCTGTTACGATTGTTCGGAGGCAAGACGTTTAGTCACAGTTAGGCTGAAGACAGTTTTTTTGTACTCGTATGATGACGTTTATAAACAGCCTCAACAAAAAGCAATCAAGAAATTCTGACCTATAAAGTGTACACTATTTTTGGGCGGGCAGTGAATGCTCAGGAGACGGACGGAACATTATTCACTGTTTTTGTCACGTGAGCGATGAGTTTGAACGTGGATTTGACTTTGGTACTCGTATTCTCCTTTATAATCCCATTACTGATTGCCTCACGAATCTCGGACATTTAGAACCCATCTTCTTGCACTTACTGGCTGACTACATCACCGTTTGACTGCGAGTGCCAAACAGCAGTGACTAACTTGCACTTGGATTGGATAAGACTACAGTTGCACAGCCAATCAGAGGGAAGCTAAGCAACCACTGTACGGCAATTGCGCTGTTATTACAGTTAACAATGATGATGATGATGATGATGATGATGATGATGATGATGATGATGATGATGATGATGATGATGATGATGATAAATCACATCCTAACCAGTCAAGACGCCAGAGTGAAAACCTTGCTTTGCCTTTTGTGACTGAGCGATGAATATAAAACCGACACAAAATAAAACTTTTTACTTCAGTTAGGAAGTCATGGCACACAGAATATTTATTGACGATATAACGCTTGACCTGGCAAATTTCTTCCCAAACGGATTCGGTCTTCGGACGATCTTCACTTGTTTTAGTGAGTAATCTGGAATTTCCATGACCCTCGGGAAGAAATCCACAAACGGCACTTGCACAACAGAACTGGGTCCTTGGCAAGTAATCCACGACAGTTCCAGTGCAAAAGTCACTTTGTTTCATGTGTATCTTTAAACAAATCAATCAACGGATAGCTGTCTAGAACTTGGGCATTAAGCCATGTATCCATCCCATTGGTTCAATTCAGAATGATGCACATTCTACATTGACTTTCTACGGTCAGTTAGTTTGCTTTTTAAGCTGAAAACTGAAAAAATTCCTCTCTCTTTTTGCACCCCACACTTTGTGCAACAATCGGCAGCTGCCGCAAAAACGCACCCAGTATGCTGCACGCCTTCCAATAATTCTGTGTAGTTTTGATAAGAACCCCAGGTTATCGAAGAGAAGATTCGTGAGCCTTCGTTTCCCTACATATTTTATTGGCCTCTCAGTTCCTAACTATTCATACTTTGAAGGCACTCTGGTCGAGTGGTAACTGAATCCTGAAGAAATCAGTACACGACTGGTTTCGTCCCTAGCCGAACTAGAGGCCTCGAACTCCTGAAAAAAGCACTACTTACTGTTCCCCAGTAGTCACATGACTGACCTAATCGGAAGAAATTTCATACCCAACCGAAAACGGAATACTAATCAACGGATGAGGTTGAAATGATAGGATCTGTTGCCTAGGTGAAAAATATATTTCGTTCATCATTAGACGTCTCAAGAAGTGGTGTTGATTAGGCTCAGATCCCGATTCAAGACAAGATGGTGTAAATGTCTGTCTACAGTACTTTCGTTATGGTTCAGGCTAGTCGCTCCACATTCTGGAACTATCTCACCGTGCATCAGGCACTCTAAACTCTAAACCAGTGGTGTCATAACTGCCCTGTTTGGTCTTCAAAGGAGGGTATATCAGTTGAGACCTCATTTGGCCCCGTCTTTTCCAGCATGTGCTTACTTTTCCGCGGAATCGCTATCGTTTTCTGGTTGAACAGTAAAGCCTCACGCACATACTGCTCGTTTTGCAAAACATAAATAAATCGAGTAAAGTGCGATTTGTCTGAGGCTTTGGGGAAGGCACGAAAGTGAATTTCAAATGCACTCCGAACCCACGAATATCGAAAGAATTATTCCATAAGTCAGAAAGAATTTGTTTCCAACCCAACTCTTGCATGTAGACGGCACTTTTCAAGGCTTCGGGAGTCTGGAAGAATCTCAACTTTCGTGTTTTTCGGATGGCCTAGCAGCTAAGCAGTGAAAGGGCTTTCGGGATATACCAGTGTTATAAGTACATAGCTGAAATCTCCCGCTTTCGATTACTTGAAAACAACTGCATTTAAACACAAGAATCGCACGCACATACAGTGGCTCACAATGAAGTGACCAAAAACCTACACGTACTACTATTTTAAGTAGGTTGTTGGCTAAATCGATATGCCGCAGCACATGTTGACAAGTAATTGCACAGCCGTTGCTAATTTCCCGGATCGCATTACGCTGAGCCACCCAAAATATCCCTGTCATTGGAAATTCTCTACTTTGCTCACGCGATGTTGAAAACTGGTAAACAGCCGACTACTGATTTCTCCTTTCTTGAAACTTACCAAGTAGGCTTATTTTTGGGGGAAATATCAACCTGCCTTCCTATATGTGCAGACAGCTTGCTACATTCATTTCCAAATTAAATCAGTGTTAACAGTAACTAATTTGTAGATCATTACAGGTGTGGTACCTAGCTGTATCTCCTGAATGCACGAATCTGCAAGGCTCGGGCCGCGTTTGCTAACTTGAGACGCCTATGGCGTCAGAATGATTTATCCCTGAATCTCAAAGAAAGTGTGTATCAAGCTATACTACGAGCTGTTTTGTTGTATGGATGTGAGTCTTGGCCTGTTCGAGCAGCGGAACTGAGACGTCTTCAGGTGTTCGACAATCGTTGTCTCAGAACCATAGCTCGTGTGGGTTGGTGTCGGCGTATTCGTAACGAAGCAATTAGAAAGCGCGTCTTCTGTTGTGCAACGGACACTTCCGTTGAAGAATTTGTCCAGCACCAAAAGCTGCGTTGGTTCTGACATGTGTTACGCATGCCGAACCATCGTTTGCCGAAGAGAGTGCTGTTTTCCATGCCCAATTCGGAGTGGCGTAAACAGAGAGGTGGCCAACCCTTGACTTGGCAGAGGAACATGAGAAAGATTACGAAAGTTTTGGGTGCTGTCGGTGCTAATCGTCCTCCAGAATACGGACCGTGTGCTATCCATTTCGCCTGATTGAGGACACTGCAAGATATAGCTGCCAACCGATGTCAGTGGCGTTCTCGTCAGTTTCTATCCAGATCACCTGAGTGAACGTCTGAAGGTATAGGCACCTCGGAATGATTGTGGTAAGCTAGCACTAAGTCCCTTCCCCGTCCACCTTTACTCTTCTCTTTACAATAAGGCTTTTAAATAAATCATGGTTGTACGGCAGTGAAGCATCGGCGTTGAACGCTGGTGTCATGCTGTCGATGATGATGATGATGATGATGATGATGATGACGATGATGATGATGTATATCCTGAAAATTGTCATGTTCATAAACGAAAAAACTAACATCTGGAACGAATCCAACTGAAAAGCCTCTTCTCTTACCAATTCCACTTGTTCCTCCCTTAGGTTCATTTCCCTTATCGCCTTCTTTTGTTCTTCCTTTCTTCTTGATTCCTGCTGTAGTTCGTCAGCAAGTTTCCTGCAAAGGTCACACGAATAGAATCGATTGGTTGGTTTACTTATTCGCTTCCCTCGTTTTTACTTGATCAGTTGAAAGTTTTGCGTCCTTCTCCAACTGCTGTTTCATCAGAATTTGATTGAATAGATCCTCTTCCTGTTTTTTCCAGATGCGTTCTTGTTCTTTCATGACCAATTGAACTTGCAGGTCTCGACCGTTTTCCAGGGTTTTTTGTTTTGACAGAGCTTTTCGCAACTCATCGCAATTATCGCTACAAGCTCAAGGTCATCGGTTCTATGAT